AGATGATACATAGGATATTTCTTTATCTGGCCTAGGGTGGATAGAAGCAAGATTTTAATATTAATATATTTTAATATTATTAATAATAATATTATTATATATAATAATATAGACTACAGATATTCTCACAAATTTATAATTTTGATAATAGTGCTATAACTTTTGACCTAAACATAAAGGGTAAAAAATATGTGCTAGGAAGTATTCAGCAAAAAGCAGTGCAAATAGATACATATTGTTAAAAAAAATTGTAGTAAGATAAATGTCTGCAAAAATTGATTTTCTGTTTTAAAATTTCAGATTTTTCATTATGGAAAACTTTCTAAAAGCCATATTAAACTGGTGCAATACATTCTTTGTTCAAAAAAATCAACCATAGCCTTACACCCTACATATTTTTCACAGACCATCCTTAGCAAAAAACTGTTTAGAAGTCAATACACTATACCGAGAATGCAATAAATTTGTATTGTAAATCATTATAACAGGATGGTTAATGTTTAGTAACTGTCCTATACTATTAAATATTTGGTAAATATTGTTAACTGTTGAAAGTTTGGTAAATATCTTATACTGTTAAAATACTTGTAAATGTACAACATTGTTTAATTCTAAAAGTCCTTTAGTGTTGAACGTTGTAAATTATCTAGCAAAAGCTCCTGTTCTGATGCATGTTCTTGAGTCCTACATTTCTGGGAATTATTTGATAAGGTGGTGACCAGAGCTGTTACTTATGTTGAATTTATCTTTTTTTCCCTGAAGATGACACAGAACAGGATTGCTATCATTGATAACCATGTAAAGACTTTCCCTATTTAACATTTTAAGCAGGTAGATACATCCTGCTGATTGGTCCATATATTATTACACTGTATCTGTTCCCAACAAGGTGTAAGCTCTAAAGTCTATATACAGTGTATAGCATGCCTTAAATAGCCTGATACTTTCAACTTTATCTAAATCTAACATAGAATCTGTTAAACATTGGCATTAATATTACCCCCCCCCCCCAGTTGCAACAAATTGGATGTTCAAAAGTTAGTTCAGCTTGAGGTCCTCAGTTCCGGGTGCTAAGTGTGATTCAGCAAAATTTTATCATTTGTCAAAATCTTTAGGTACAGGGTAGGGCCCTCCCTCATGAGCTGTGGGTGTGGGGGACCATTCATGGTTTAGATGTAACTATAAATAAACGTCACTTGTGCTAGTTCTTGGTCTGCCAGATTTTAGTTGTCGAATGGCTCAGATACAGGATGTCTGTGGGCAGTCACTCACGGACCTACCCTAAGCCCGTGGGTCATACCCTAAGCCCGTGGGTCATACCCTTAGCCCGTGGGTCAGACACAGGTTTCAGCCACCCATTGGCTGTGCTGGGGACACAGGATGTGTGTGACCTTAGTGTGGGGGTCACTCAGGTGTAGCAAGCCTACACAAACAACAAGGTCACTCAAGCGTATATCGTCATGAGTCACTGCCTCACCTGTTGTAGATTTCTCTCACTTGACTACCGTCGGTTTAAAACTTTTGACCTGTGGCAATGGTCACGAGTCAATGACCTACGTTTACTATTCTGTTTGTAAGCTTTTGTCGAATAGACGTCAAATAATTTGTGCGTGTTTATGTTATTTTATTACACGACCCTCATCCTCAGACTACGTCTGATAGTGTCGTCGCCCCCCCCCCCCGGTCAGTTTTTGTTTTTTTACAGAAGCGCAAAAAAAAAAATCTTGTCTCATCACATTTCTTTTACACTCCATCCCCGCCCTCCCCTCACATCGTCAGAAAATTGAGTCCCGTTTTCCCAATCCCTACGGTGTATTATTATTTATAGATCACCGAAAGCTTATTGGCGTTGTACTAGGCCCATCCACCTCTAACTCACAATATGAAAATTGTGTGTCACCTCTAGCTCCCACTGTAAATGGTGTGTCATGTCACCTCTACCACACACTAATTGTCAATAGGTTCTACTTTCCTCGCGATATTTGCTAGTCCCTGCAAATAACAACAGTACTCCCACCTCTTGTCTAAAAGTACTTTTCTTTCCTAGCGACATGTAAAAAAAACTTTTCCTTCCCAGCGACATGTAATAAGAGTACTTTCTTCTCACGCGTGGAATTCCCGCTCAGTTCTGGTTTTCCCATTTGACTCAGCCTTACTCAGAAACTCGTGTAGCATAACTTTCTCAGAAGATCTTATCATTTATCGATTGGTATGGGGAAGAAAAGGGAGGGGGGGGATAAATATCACTTTTCAAGAGCAGCATTGATCATGCTATGGTATTTCTGGTTTACGTTAGGTATGTGACGGGAATAACCATGTAACTTTTGTATTCATCACATTTTCGTACTCATCATTGAAAACACCGCTTCACAAAATAATGTGAAGTCTATCATGACATTCTTTGCCGTCCTAGTTTAAGTTCAATCTTCACACAGTAGACACCAACACATTGAAGATTTTCTTTCAATCTGATCCATATGTCCTGTAGCTGGTGACGTTTGTATGTCGCTAATCCTTTCCTGTTCGCCCAGCGTCGCTTGATACTGGACTAAATCTTTCTACCTCGCCTACCGTCACGGCCCGGCAAAACTATGCAGTAAATCGATAGGTTGTTTGGTGTTTTTATTTGCGTGGGGGAGAGGGTGGACAGCGGGGCCCGCGGGGTTTGGTATATCCGGGATTTTCCTGAAAAGAAAAAGCGCCAAGCGTGACACTATATATAGCGAGCCTCGCCTGTCGTCATTTTGAAAGCCAGATAAGCTTGTGTCGGTTGAGGCTAAACTAAACTAACAGTAAATTGTAAGTACTGTCTCTTTTTGTGTTGGCTGGTTTTGTTTCTTGCATTGTGTCGACGTTTTTGTTTTGTGGTGAGTGATGGTTTCTTTGTTTATTTTTGCGTTGTGCCGACAACCTTTGTTTCTTAGATTGAGCTGTTTTGGCTGATGTAAGGAACGTTCTTGTTGAGCGATTGCTTTTTTAGGCCAACCAACGTACATTTATGATAACAGATCTAATTCTGGTTTTATGTATGCGGTTGCTTGTAATGCATTCACGACTTTATGCATCTGAACATCTTGTCAAACGGTTTTTTATTGATAGCTTCCCCCTCTTTATCTAGACTATCAGAGAAGGTCGTGTTTTCCCCAATACAATCTATCTAGAGTATTCTATTTGCTCTAATAATTAAATAAGCTTACTCTACATCGTTTGTACTTGTTAAAAAAGCACCGAGTGCAGCCCATACGACTAGGATACCCTGACAGTTGACACCGGGCTGTATGTTAGTTTGCCTGTTGTAGCTTCCATATTTTTTTATTTTGCTGACTTCCTATTATATGAAACAAGGCGTATAAAGCAGGTCAAGGCTAACCATGCCGGCTTGAGGTCAAAGGTGACATGTACCGTGCTGGCGCTGTTGTTGCGACTTGACCTTGATGTTGTTGATGTGGAATAAGTGGCGCACCACAGACCAGGGGATAGCGTTATGTTGATCACCCCGCTACACAATATCTAACGGTTAAAAGTCACAAAAACCTCCTTAACGGCGGTACCAGTTTTTGACCACACATAAAGGTCTGGGTATGATTTCGAGAAACGAACCCCATAAATGTTGTAGGCGGCATTTCACCCAGTGTTTCTTTCTGGCATTTCTCCCACCCGTTCCTCCGTTATTTAAAACAACGTGCCGCAAATCTATCTACCAGCCCCCGAAAGTTTCAAATAGAGGGAAAAAGAAATCCTGATTTGACGAATTATCGCCACTATCTAAAATCTGATATTATGTCTACAAGCCATTCTAACCTCTGCCACTCATCTGTACACGTCTATCTACGTTCAACTGTTTGAAGTTTTTACAGCAGAGGTAAATTGCGTGATGTGGTCTTTTAACGTTACGTAGGGCGGGTAGTTCAAATACGAGATTGTACTGGTCGTATCAATATATAGCCTGGTGACTATGGTCTATTCTGTTCTAAGCAAGTTAATAAAAAGTCTAGTGACAATTTAAGCGCAATTTCCTTAATTAATTTTTTGTGACCGAACGAAAGGATATTTTTGAAAACTTTCTTCAGCAATATTGTTCTAAATTATGGCAGGAATCGATTGGTAAATGTTTCAAGTGGCTAAGTGGTCTGGTTGCCGAGATATGGGCAAAAAACTGCATTTTTTTTTCGAGTTTTTTTTGGCTTTTCCGGGAAATCCAGGAAGGAATTCCGGGAATTTTTTTGGCCCACAATCATCCTCGGAACTTGCTTAACATATTTGCTTTTGGAACTAGTCCTTGATATTGCTTCGTTGAAGAGGAGATACGACTTAAAGCTGCGCACATCCATCCATCCATCCATCCATCCATCCATCCATCCAGAAATGACGAGTTAATAATCGCAATTGTCCAGTATGGAAATTGCGCTAAAAAACACATACACCAACTATATATAGCTCCATAAAGTTTTTCACGTGTCAAATTCGCCGTCTTTTTTTTTAAACGACATAAGCATCCCAATGCAAGCCTACGTACGATGTAAGTCCGTTTAAAAAAATCATTGTGTATTGTCTATCGGGTGATCGATTGTTGAACGAAAAGCCGGTTTAAAATCAGATGCATACAAAGCTTTAATGGAGCCCATCTTTAATCTTTGTGAATTATCTAACGGGAGATCGCCTGTTGTTTACAGCAGTCTTAAAGTCAGCAGTCACAAAGCCATAATGGCGTCCATGTTTGATCTTTGTGAATTATCTAACTGGAGATGGCCCGTTGTTTACAGCCGTCACAAAGCCCTAATGGCGTCCATGTTTGACTAGACCCCACATCTCGTCACCTGTTGAGCGCCGTGTTAGCTCCGGCCTTCACACCTCTTGTTGACATTGGCCCAGCTTTACTACTCACGTTAAGACCTGCCCCCCTGTCTTCCCATTGTCACCAACATGCCCACCATTCGCGTACAGCCGCCTTGTGGTGACCCCGTATATAAAACCATCCTTCTCCGTGTGTAGCCGTACCACCACCACCACGCGCGTGCCTGCCAAGTGTCTAATCCCCAGCAATCACCCAAACTCGTCTTCAGCTAATAGAACATTTCAGCCCAGCCGAGGGAGATTTTTCTCTAATTATTTGCCGAGAGCCCGAGGTCGGTCCTGGCGATTTGGGAATTGTTGAGGCGAGTGTCTGACATTAAGGCCGCGGAGTTGATGACTTGTGACCTATACCAGAACATTCCTGCGTGTGTGACGTTGTCTCCATGCCGCGCGGCGCATACAAAGTTTCTAAGGCCGAGCTGAAGGAGGTACAGTAGAGCTCAGCTGTAGAACCGCTAAGTGTCGTGGCACACATTCGGGAGTTTTTTCCGTCGTGTTTGGAATCTGTGAAATCTCTTGTCTTAGTTTTTTGTAGGATCACTTTTAAAGTTAATTAACTCTAAGAAAAGTGTTAATTAAAGTAGGAGTTTTGGGGAAAACCATGACCTATTACTATGAGTTTGTTATATAATGAGTACTGTGAGGCATTCATTAGCAATGATGATGTCACTTGTACATGTCACATAGTCTAGTTGAACAAAGTTCCTGGAATTAGACATTTTCCATACAGTGATTGTATAGAATAATAATGCTAATAATTATGCAATGTAGTATTTAGCCTACATAATGTGGTGACTTAAAATATTTTATTTATTCATTTAACTTGTGTATACAGCCCTATGTAGTAGGCTATAGTCAAGTGGTCACTTGTGTTACACCATCAATGTTTTATTATCTTCTCTTCCCCCCCCCCCCCCCCCTTCTTTTTCTTTAACTTTACATCTTTTTTTTTTTCAGTAAGGCTTATCATCTATTGGGTTGTATAAGCTTGTGTTGATAGTTGGACTGTCAACTTAATGCATGTATTCAGTGTTTATTTGTTTGATCTTCACAGTTGAGCACCATGGCAACCCCTAAACAAATCAAGTTTGAGAGCGCCAACCAGCTGGGTGCATGTCCTGGTGTTCTGTGTGGGGATCCCAAAAAATCAGCCCAGGGTATCATTGTTTTACAGGTAAGACATTCAGTCAGGGTATCTTACAGGTAAGGCATTCAGTCAGGGTATCTTACAGGTAAGGCATTCAGTCAGGGTATCATTGTTTTACAGGTAAGACATTCAGTCAGGGTATCTTACAGGTAAGGCATTCAGTCAGGGTATCTTACAGGTAAGGCATTCAGTCAGGGTATCTTACAGGTAAGGCATTCAGTCAGGGTATCTTACAGGTAAGGCATTCAGTCAGGGTATCTTACAGGTAAGGCATTCAGTCAGGGTATCTTACAGGTAAGGCATTCAGTCAGGGTATCTTACAGGTAAGGCATTCAGTCAGGGTATCTTACAGGTAAGGCATTCAGTCAGGGTATCTTACAGGTAAGGCATTCAGTCAGGGTATCTTACAGGTAAGGCATTCAGTCAGGGTATCTTACAGGTAAGACATTCAGTCAGGGTATCATTGTTTTACAGGTAAGAGATTCAGTCAGGGTATCTTACAGGTAAGGCATTCAGTCAGGGTATCTTACAGGTAAGGCATTCAGTCAGGGTATCTTACAGGTAAGGCATTCAGTCAGGGTATCTTACAGGTAAGACATTCAGTCAGGGTATCTTACAGGTAAGACATTCAGTCAGGGTATCTTACAGGTAAGGCATTCAGTCAGGGTATCTTACAGGTAAGACATTCAGTCAGGGTATCTTACAGGTAAGACATTCAGTCAGGGTATCTTACAGGTAAGACATTCAGTCAGGGTATCTTACAGGTAAGAGATTCTGTCATTAATGTGTTCATCTTATAATGTGATAATAGAATAATGAACAAAAGGCTCATTGTTGTGTGGATATGGTGGATCAACTGATGTTAGTTCACTGATTGTGTGTGATGTTAGTTTACTGATTGTGTGTGAACCTACTGATGTTTGTTCACTGATTGTGTGTGATGTTAGTTTACTGATTGTGTGTGAACCTACTGATGTTAGTTTACTGATTGTGTGTGAACCTACTGATGTTAGTTTACTGATTGTGTGTGATGTTAGTTTACTGATTGTGTGTAAACCTACTGATGTTAGTTTACTGATTGTGTGTAAACCTACTGATGTTAGTTTACTGATTGTGTGTGATGTTAGTTTACTGATTGTGTGTGAACCTACTGATGTTAGTTTACTGATTGTGTGAACCTACTGATGTTAGTTTACTGATTGTGTGTGAACCTACTGATGTTAGTTTACTGATTGTGTGTGAACCTACTGATGTTAGTTTACTGATTGTGTGAACCTACTGATGTTAGTTTACTGATTGTGTGAACCTACTGATGTTAGTTTACTGATTGTGTGTGAACCTACTGATGTTAGTTTACTGATTGTGTGAACCTACTGATGTTAGTTTACTGATTGTGTGAACCTACTGATGTTAGTTTACTGATTGTGTGAACCTACTGATGTTAGTTTACTGATTGTGTGTGAACCTACTGATGTTAGTTTACTGATTGTGTGTGGACCTACTGATGTTACTGATTGTGTGAACCTACTGATGTTAGTTTACTGATTGTGTCTTGTTGATGCCTACAGGAATGGTGGGGTGTGAACCAACAAATCCAAGACTGTGGTAAAGAGCTCTGTGGTCTGGCCAATGCCGTGACCTTGGTCCCTGACCTGTACAGAGGTAAAGTGGCGGAGGACAACGAAACCGCTGGTCACTACATGGGTGGGCTGGACTGGAAGGGGGCAGTGGAGGACATCAGGGCTGCAGCCAAGTAAGTCTTGGACCAAAGATGTCCTGCTTTTAGTGGTAACATGTTGTTTTTGTCCTACTCCTTCAGCTAATACATCCTAGTCAAAACAATTGTAAATATTTAAAAGTTGCCTCTCAGAACTAACAGTCCATGGGTAGATGAAGTAGAGTTCATTTTTCTGAACATAGCATATAAAGCAGTAGTATGGTCAGCACTTTGTTTTCCCCTCCCCAACTTAAGTCATCTCCCCTTTGCGACTGTTTGGACTCAACGAAGTCCTATAGACTCAGTGATGTCCTATGGACTCAATGATGTCCTGTAGACTCAATGATGTCCTATGGACTCAATAATGTCCTGTGGACTCATTGATGTCCTGTGGACTCAATGATGTCCTATGGACTCAATGATGTCCTATGGACTCAAACTGTGAACTAAACTCAAGCCTTTCTGTTAGTAACTGAACCCTGTACACCTCAACCAAGCCATTCCATTATCAACATGTTACCTGATGTGTAACAGTATGTAGCCATGGACTCATAATGTATCTGTTCCAGGTATTTGAAGGAGCAAGGTTGTAAAAAAGTGGGCGTGACTGGTTTCTGTATGGGCGGGGCCTTGTCCATGGCAGCTGCCGCCCTGGTGCAAGAGATTGACGCCTCCGTCCCTTTCTATGGCATCCCCTCCGCGGAGCTGTGTGATGTCACCAAAATTAAGATCCCTCTACAGTGTCACTTTGCTGAGAAAGATGATGTAAGTAACGATGATCTTAGCAACATCATCACTATGTAAGCATTTATCTTGGTAGCATGAAGTCGGTGTAAGCAATAGTGATTGCTTTACCCATGTCACTATGTAAGCAGTAGTGATCTTTTGTCGCTTCTCAGAATAGGCACTAGTCTTCTTTGTGTTTTTATCACAATGTACACCAAGTGCTGTTGTCATTTAAGATCATTGGACCAACTCACTCTCCACCAAATTAACAAACCATACAGGGAAATTGTTTCAGAAAACAAAATCACTTTAAAAAATCCCTGAGACTGTACTGAGTTGTATGAAAATTTGTGACTAAATTTAAAACACAGCTTTTGTATCCCGCAGACCAAGGGTTTTGCCTCCCCTGATGAGTATCGCCCCCTTGAAGCCAAGCTAAAAGCCGCCAATTTGAAAGACTTTGAGTTCTACGAGTACCCAGCCGCCCACGCCTTCACCAACACGTCAGGCCCCAACTACAACAAGGACTGCCGCGACCAGGCTTTCTCCAGGATGAAGCAGTTTTTCCACAAACACCTGGCATAAACTGATTGAACATTTTTTTTTTTAGTTTATGTAACTTGGTTTCTATGAAAACAAGAATCTGTAAGGTAAAGGACACAGGGCCTTTCCCTGCACTGATGTAAGACTATTATCAAGATGGTGGTTGTTCCTTAAGACATTCACTAGGCAGATTTTTTTTCTGTGTTATCTGCTGATGATTTCTTGTCCCAATAGGTGGGGGCCACCCTAACAGCTGACTAGGTTTTTGTGTACAAAATGTTTACTGTATCTTGATTGGTTTGTTAATAAAATATCACAGATAGTAGTTGTCTTGCTTGTTTTATTCATTGTCTGAGTGGAAGAAGGTGGTAAAAAGCTAAACCTCCTCAAGGATGAATGGATGGATGTTTTATTCATCACACATCACTAAAATGTTTCCAAGTTATTCTGTACAACTGCGAACACTCTTTATTATAACCACAGTTTGTATAAAAACTTCACATTTTTTTCTTTAATTTTGCTCATTAATAAATAGAAAAAATATGACATTTCCCTTTTAATTACAGTCCCTGCAAAATCCCCCCCCCCCCCAACCAACCATAGTTGATCATCTTCAAAGTCCCCTTAGGTGTCGGACGCCAACTATAGTTTACTCTCACAGAAACTGTAGGCCTATTTCGGGGGGGGGGGTAGACTTTCTTCGGAGAGTTGCCTGGAAGAAACTCTGGCCAATAGCCTACAGATAAAATTTTAAATTCATCATGAGCAAGCAAAAATTCTGATTCCGGAATAATAAAAAAAATCAATATCAGTAACAGTATGCTGCGTCACGAATCCGCTGATAGGGAACACGGATGTTTACCACTGTGTTCATAAAAATAACAACCAATCAAAAGTAAACCGGATATTTGCAAATAAACAAAAATACTTTTGATTGGTCGTTATTTTTGTAGAATCATTGAGAACGGATAGACCTAGCAAGGCAAGCCCAGGATAATTCTATGAAAATGAGTCATACCAAAATTGTAAACAAACTCTTAACATCCTGTTCACGGCTTATTTCTCTCACAAAAATAGGCTGTATTCGTTTTAAAGAAGACACCTTTATTACTAGATTTAGTTCTAGATCTAGTCAGCTGTTTAGAAAACATCGTACATTTAATTCTGCATTGATATCGTTTTCTGGTACGTTATCGGCTAAAAAGCCTAATTTAATTTATATTAGCCTAATTAATTATTATTTATTTAGATTAGAGTTTAGTTTAGAGTTTAGAGTTTTTAGAGGTAGTCTATCGCTTTTACTTTTACTAAAAGCCCTTTTGCTTAGGTACGTAAAATCGGCCGCGGCTAGTAATGTACAAAAAAGTTACCTCATTTCAAGGCTTTAATTATATAATAGAAGTAGGCCTATATATACATATATTCGGTAATCTATCGTTTTGGGTACGTAAAATCGCCCGCGACTAGTAATGTGAAAAACAGGTGACTCCTTACATTTTAATAATTATTTCACATTTTGAGGAGGATTTATGTTTTAAAAATACAAAAATGTTTCCTTGTTTCATTTATGTACCTGTTTTTAAACAATTGAATTAAAACTTTTCAGTAGTAAATGAAGACTAGCGATGTTTCCAACAGATGCAACCATGCTCATTTACTATAACAGCCATCTTGTTAAAGTTTTATTTTTATAGACTTAAAGCGCAAGATTCAGGCAGAAGTCACGCTATTTTACAAATGGCTGCTGTTTATATAGCAAATCCTGCTTGTAGACACTGCTGTTTAAAGTCAATTTCTGGCCTATATTGATATATTTAGCCATTAATTTAGGTTTATTATTCATTTGTCTATAATATTTGACACAAACATATCACAATATACTTCTATTACAGCCTTGACAATGAGGTAACGTTTTCGTACATTTTAATAGCCGCGGGCGATTTTAGTACCCAAAACGATAGATTACCATATATTCATATATTGTGAAATATTTGTGTCAAATATTATAGATAGTATTAGATAGGCCCTAGGCCTGTCTGAATAATAAACCATAATCAATGGCTAAATAAATATATATCAATATTACTTAGTTAATACTTAGGCTAACTTGACTTTTAGGCTATAGGCCAGAAATTAACTTTAAACAATAAACAGCAGTGTTTGCAAGCAAGATTTGTATATAAACAGAAGCCATTTGTAAAATAGAGTGGCTTCCCCTGAATCTCCCGCTATAAGTTTATCAAAATTAAACTTAAACAAGATGTCTGCTATAGTAAATAAGCATAGATCTAGACATCTAGTTGCATCTGAGGATTTTGTATTTTTCAAAACATAAATGATAAATCTTCCTCAAAATGTGAAATAATTATTAAAATTTAAGGAGTGACCTGTTTTTCACATTACTAGTCACGGGCGATTTTACGTACCTAAAGCGATAAATTACCCTTATTTAATAAGTTATTTATTACATTACTTACTTAGGCCTATTTAATACTATTTATTAGTAATAGGCTAGTTATTAGTTATTATTAGGCCTAATTGTAATTTTAAGTAATTTAGCCTAATAACTTAATAAGTTAATTATTATTATAATGACAAAACTAAAACTATTTATTTGAATAGTGAATAGGCCTATGTAGTTTTTAATATTAAATCAATAGGCCTAGGCCTCTTGTCAAATTTGTTAATAACTATTAATTATAGTACTATAGTTACTTATAGTATTTATCGGCCTAAGAAGTCAGTGTTTAATAGTTTTTAAGTTCCAAGATTCACTTTAGGGTTGTATAGAGTTTAGGCTATAGATAGCCTACAGATAATTTATAAATTTATTATTGGAATTTAGCTGTAGTACCGAAATAGAATAGTTTCATACAGACATCTGACCATATTAGTTGTTTGTATAATATAGAGATGCACTATGTCTGGGTACATATTAAAGAAATCCTACATATGAGTACAGGTGTAGAAATGCAGAGAGAACGATCATGGGCAGAAAGGCTGAGAGACAGATAATCAACGGTTGTGTGCAGAGGTTGTGTGAGAATGGAGACCAAATGCTGATCAGAGAAAAAACACAGGGTTGGCCTTGGTTATGGTGGCCATAAGTGCTATGAAGACCTGGCGTGTTTGTTGTGAGGATTGCAACCAGGCTCGCTCATACACAGAGTGCAGCTTTCACAGAGAACGATTGAACAGATAGAACAGTGTCAGTAGAATGTGAGATAGAGACTGGTACAGTGCATGGTCTTGTGACCTTGGAGGACTTGATTTTTGTGTTGTTGATGGAACAGTGATTATTGAATTTGTAGTCAGAGTGTGATTCTTTACATGAAAGAGATAAGCTAGTTCAAACTGAGGTGTCCACATCATAACGGCTTAACGGCATGTTCACATACACACACAAGTGGTTACACACCTGTCACATTAAGGCACTGCCAGAAGGGGTTGATCACATTACAAAGTTTGTCACTTATCTGCAGAGGCGCCTGGGGACAAACTTTCAATTTGCCCCCCCCTATATTTTTATATTTATAAGTCAAAATAGCAGCTAAAATGAGCTTATTTTGGCACTAGGGTCGGTACCCGGGGATATATGTACCCTGCCACCCCACCCCCTCACTAAGCCTCTGCTTATCTGTCAAAGTCGGCATTGTCAGCAGGATGAGAAACGAGAAGCACACAACAACAAGGAATAATCATCAACACACACTCTGTTATATATATGTATATATATATATATATATATATATATATATATATATATATATATATATATATATATATATATATATATATATATATATATATATATATATATATATATATATATATATATATATATGTATATATATTCATTTTTAAAAATATTTTCAATTTCATCCATCAGTGCTTACGGTGCCATCGTACTCTCAGCACCTACGATCTAATAGTATGTCAAACCCTGACGAACTTCGTGGGCCTGAGGTTCCACTTTTGCCTGGTCAAGTTCTGCGACTTTACAGCATGAGAATGTGCCCTTATGCCCAGGTTGGGAAGCATGGTGTTTTTTCTTGTTGATTAGCCATATGTACACTTGTGTGTAGCGAAGAGATCATAACTTATGATTCCAGATTAATCTTATTAGGTAAAGACTTAGGTTTACGGTTTAGGTTATGATTTAGGTTAGTGCTGGCTAAAGGCTATAAATATATTATACCTAATTTTAAAACACCTGAAATAGTTTAAACGATTATCATTTTATCACCTGTTCAGTATACTGAAATGGCAATCCAGAATAATGGGTGAAAAAATATAGGTTTTTTGTTCTTTACTATCTAGTTTGAATAAGAGGAATAACTTGGTTATTTTTCAGTTTGAATTCCATCTTCTAATTGAAGTACTGTTTATATGTACCCATGCACTTAATTTAATTCCAGCTAAAGTACTGTTCCATCAAGTATTGAATGTTTACGTCTATAGTAGTAAGACAAGATTGTGATTGAGTGTTTTGGTTTATAATTTCCCTGAAGTATTATTAGCACAGGGTTTTAACATTCTTTGTTCCACTGATTGTTTTTCAGAGGGTAAGATTAATTCTGGCAGCCAAGGGCATTAAGTACGATCTTGTTAATGTTTGTTTTTCAGAGGGTAAGATTAATTCTGGCAGCCAAGGGCATTAAGTATGATCTTGTTAATGTTGATCTGAATACAAAGCCTGATTGGTTTTTTGACTTGAATCCCTCTGGGGAGGTGCCAGTTGTTGTGTACGAGGGGGGACATATTTACGAGTCGTTAGTGACCGCAGGTAAGTCATGTCTGGTTTTTGTAAAATACATTTTAAATAGCATAGGAGTTTCTAGGCTTTGTTTTTAAAATGTGGGCACAGCTATGTGTGAGTAGGGTGGAAGGGCACACATTTTTTTCAACAGTATCTAGAATCTAAAATACTAGCAAAAATTTGTAGTCATGCTAACACAAGTGTAGAATTGAGAATTTCCCGTTCCTTAAATGTGGGAAAGGTAGTAAGATAACTCAAGGTTGCTAGGCACACATAGCTATTGTAGAATTTGTTTGTATAATTTGTACGTTTGTTTTACTCGTACAGAATTCCTAGATGACATCTTCCCAGAGCCACCACTATATGCAACAGACCCTTTAGTAAAAGCGTATGAGAAGATTTATTTCAACCACTGGACAAAAAAGGTAGGCCACTGTTTAAATCTCTAAGGAAACTAAACATTTCAATGATATTCAGTTAAGACCTGTTTATATTTTAAAAAATTAATGTAGGGCATTTATTTTGTTGTGACTGAATCTCACACTTGTATTCGTTTGCCAGCTGACGGAAATTATTGATTGTACACTGTACTCACATAATGAGGGTTGATAAAACTAAACAAATAATAGGCCGATTCTAACCAGAAAAAGATTCGCTTACGCACAGCTCTACAACGACCTGGTCTTTCTTGTCATCTACATGTTCGCTGTTTAGGCCTATGTTTTGTCTTGATGGGACAGGGATAAATACTTAAATTTTAGATTTGAATAGATTTTAATTTTAAAAATTATTTTATACTGATAAAATAGAATTCTTTGCCAGATATATTATAACTATACCATAAACCCTCAACCCCTGACGACCCGCCCAAAGTGCAAATGCTCAACCACACAGTACAGATATTTTTGTTTGAAGAATAAAGCTAAAAGCGTAATTGATCCCATTGCGTAGTTATAAAAGAAAAAATTTAGCCAATTGCACATCCATTTCGGTCATTGCATTTTGCATCTTCTGCCGAACAGATAGCGCCTGGTGGAAGAAGCTTCTTCCAAGCAGTCACTTCGTAAATAATATTCACTCACTTTAAAATTCTATACTGCTGATACTGATCCTCACTAAAAAGTTCTAGACTGCTAATATTACTTTAACAAAGGTCACAGAGCTATAGTTAAGTAGTTATCTGGTCTTCTGTAGGCCTAATGTTGTTTATTTCTTTAGGGTATCCCAGCATTCTACAGCCTGTTGTGGTCCGGCTACTCCGACCCAGAGCAGAGCAGGAGGTTGGAGGAGAACATCCAGGTGCTGGACGGCTACCTGAAGAAGCTGGGCAAGCCCTACTTCCATGGGGAGCAGGTCGGGTTCTCTGACTACATGATCTGGCCGTGGTTTGAGAGGATGCCCATGCTGAAGGATGTCACAAGTAAGGTTTACAGTTGGTTGATTTTGTGATGTCACTTTTACAGTTGGTTGATTTTGTGATGTCACAAGTAAAGTTTACAGTTGGTTGATTTTGTGATGTCACAGTTGGTTGATTTTGTGATGTCACAAGTAAAGTTTACAGTTGGTTGATTTTGTGACTGTCACAAGTAAAGTTTACAGTTGATTGATTTTGTGATGTCACAAGTAAAGTTTACAGTTGATTGATTTTGTGACTCACAAGTAAGGTTTACAGTTGGTTGATTTTGTGATGTCACCAGTAAAGTTTACAGTTGGTTGACTTTGTGATGTCACAAGTAAAGTTTACAGTTGGTTGACTTTGTGACTGTCACAAGTAAAGTTTACAGTTGGTTGATTTTGTGATGTCACAAGTAAAGTTTACAGTTGGTTGATTTTGTGACTCACAAGTAAGGTTTACAGTTGGTTGATTTTGTGACTGTCACAAGTAAGGTTTACAGTTGGTTGATTTTGTGATGTCACAAGTAAAGTTTACAGTTGGTTGATTATACAAATATACCAAAGTTTACAGTTAAATTATTACAACACACATATACTAAAGTTTACAGTTAAATTATTACAACACAAATATACTAAAGTTTACAGTTAAATTATTACAATACAAATATACTAAAGTTTACAGTTAGCTGTGTGAGATTGTTGAGACAGGTTTCCATTCATTATATCTAGAATTTAAAAATACTAGCTAAGTAGCTAATTAGAAATTTTTAGTAAACAATTTTTTTAAAGACAACCTTCAAATAATTTACCTTAATTTTCAACCCTCTATTAATTTTCTGATTTCTAAACTCTCCGATTATTTTCCCATTTTTCACTCGTTTGGTAAATTGTCCTCAGATTTCACCATCTGCCCATTGAAGTACCCGCACATCACGGCTTGGGTGGACAGGATGTGGCAAGACCCTGTCGTACAGGCTTGCATGACAGACAGAAAGATGCTGACAGTTCACTACGAGAAGTACAGAACTGGCAAGCCAGACTTCACCATTGGTTCGGTGAAATTGACAAACAATGTTGTACAGGATCCCTTAGAGAACTTGGACGGTCTCCGAGACCCAGCTACCAGAGACAGACAGAAGTAGACCTTGTGACCACACCCACCGCAACTGTTATTTTTTCCATTTTGATGTTGCCTTTATTATAGAATTATTTAATTTACAGCATAACTGCAGAAATGGCGATAGTTAGATTAATTTTTTTTCTGTAGTTGAAGTTGAAATGCATTTTTTGCCAGGGGGAGGAAGTAGAATACACTAGTCCTCAAGGCCACAGCTTATACTGTATTTTGTTGATAGGCGTTGAACAGTCTTTCAGATAATAATTTTTATATATACATATTTTAAAATCTTTTTTTTTAATAAACCAGTTAAGAACATTGCGTGACAAAAACATACACAAATGGAGTTTTAAAAATAGAAATCAGGTTTTGTTCATTAAAGAATAATAGCAGCCAAAGGTTTGATAGATGTGTCACTCACCTTGACCCTGTTAATAGACTATTATCTTTGACCTTGACCAACTTGAGACACTATTACCTTGACCCAGTTTATGGGAATCAATAAAGCTTGTCCTTTCAAGCATTTTGATCCACACTTTAAAGTGTGAGCTCTGAAGTCAAAAAATTTTAATGACAATCAGATGTTTGAAGCTCCCCATTACTGATGGCTGAAGTTTTTAAAGCTTTAACTTGATGATTATCACTGTGATATTATTTGTTATGTAGAGAAGCTTCTTACAGATATTAAAAATTCTTATCCAAGTGTTTTGGATGAGTAAAAAATGTATGGTATATTATTTTTCAATCAGTTTTATCAGATTTGAAATAAACCTTTTAAAATAGTTGTATTCCTGTTTTATTTGCGAAGCGCAGTAATTTTAATAGTTCATGTACTGTTGCAACCATCTATTAGGTCATGTACTGTTGCAACCATCTATTAGGTCATGTACTGTTGCAACCATCTATTAGGTCATGTACTGTTGCAACCATGTATTAGGTCATGTACTGTTGCAACCATCTATTAGGTCATGTACTGTTGCAACCATCTATTAGGTCATGTACTGTTGCAACCATCTATTAGGTCATGTACTGTTGCAACCATCTATTAGGTCATGAAATTTTTTATTTCATTTGAAAAACTCAACAATCTGTTTATATTCAAAATAACAAATTCTATTTTATTTGGTTTAAACAATAAAAATGAAAAATGAACAGCAAAAAAATTCTAAAGCAAAGTTTCAATCACTGCCAGTTAATTCAAACACACAAGACAGCAGATGATCAAAGACTGAATGTGGGAAGAGAGTAGCACCCCAACACGGCAGGCAGCAGTCATATTTTTATCTTATACCCTTATGGGGGGGGGGAGGGGGGGTCAACACTTGGTAGTGGCAAATATAACAAAACTTAAGGACAACACATGTTTAAGTCATGGTTACATCTGCATGAGCAGTTTTTAAAAAAAAAGTCACTTTACTAGTACATCATCTGCAGACAGAGATCTCATAAACGTTCTTTAAGTAGTGTTTACAAAGATTTACTAATTAATATTTTCATTGAATTTCCATTCATTCTGAATAGTTTAAGTTGGAGGGAGAAGAAAACTGTACAGTATTTCTGATGCTGCCACTGAGGGTTCTCTCCCCTGCAGTTTGTTACTGAGGGTTCCCTCCCCTGCAATTTGCCACTCAAGTGTCCACAGACCATTCATATTATCTACAGTGTTGGGTTGTGCCCTTTAAGTCATGTTCTCCTTTAAGTTGAAAGGTCATAATACTGAAGGAACTGCATTTTTTAAAAGTTGACCTGTGTTATGTACATAATAAATAAAGTTTGCATCAATGTGAAAGTTAATTAATTATTGTAATCAAATGAAAAACATTCACAGTAAAGCACTATCTAGGGATGTAAAAGTGTTTTGATGAATTAATGTCTAGCATCTGATAACATTTAGGGTTAAAGACAAAAATTCAAAATTTGTAAGCCAATTCAGAATTAGAAAATGTGTCTTAAAATATGACATTAAAAATAAAAAGTTTGGACATTTAACCATGTAGCAATTTGTGTAACTTGTTTACAAAAGATGTCTCCAATATATTACTTAATGAGGGGAAATATAAGAAGAAAACTACCTTGGGTATTTATAACATTTATCCAAGTGTCTAAGAGGTAAATAGTTATAAACTTCAAACCCACAGGTCAACTTTTTTTTAAAAATAAGAGTAGTTTCCCTTACTTACAGACAACACAGTTATTCCTATGCAACAAACATTTTTAAAAATTTAAATTTTAAATCTGCCTTTTTAAACTTTTAAATAATTTACTGAGCAATAATAACGGTGTATCTAATTGCACAATAAATAAATACCAATTCAAGGCATCAACACAGTTTAACAAAGATTAAAATAACTTGAAAAGTTAGGCTACAAAAATACAACTATTTGGTACAAGAAATGAAGAAATTTGTTTAAAATACTAGCTAACTAAAATACCATGATTTTAATTCTGTAAAACAAATTCACAACTCTTTGGCTAGATTTGTATTTAAAAACAATAGTTAAAAAAAAATGTTGATTAAATAATAATAAATATTTTAAATTAGAAATGAGCATTGTTTAGTTAGGGCATAGATCTAGATGAACAAACATGTGAGATCTAAAGGAAAAAATATTCCAAAGCTTCCTGACTTCAAATATAAATATGTGAACTAGAGTTTCTCCACACTCACACACACAAGATGAAAGTAAATCTTGTTTCATATAGAGGGCCAATACGGCTGAGCTAGAATTGTACAGATGGGTTTGTAATAAATATGTAAGTCTTTTGGATTATAGGAGCTAGAATTGTACAGGTGGGTTTGTAATAAATATATAAGTCTTTTGGATTATAGGAGTGATGTGAAAGGAATTTAGGTAAGTCAAATTATACTTTGCAACACAAAAATTCAGCCAATCAAAATACTGGAATTATTAGCATGGATAGCACATTTCAGCCAATCAAAACACTTGAAAGGAAAAAATATAAAGGTATTAATACATTTCTTTTATAGCTAAGGAGCTACAGTTTCACTAACGAAAAGTGAACATTACTACAAAACAAAAATGACATTTAAAGAAATAATAGGTTTACACTAGTTATTCATTCTTTGCAGTGCAGAGGATGATTCATTTTACTTTGCAGAACTTTTTAAAAAGGTGGAGCATATTTTCTTACTAGGTCGGATCACTGAATCACAAGAACTTCATGTACCATCATTAATCACATACACCATAGATGAAATGGAAGTAGTGGCCATAGACTAACAGTTAACAATAACACAATTATCCAAATTTTAAAAATATGAAATTAGCAACAGATATATAAGTATCAATTAGATTTTTAAAATCTGACAAAAATTCCAATGAAGCTGAATTCCCAGAAATCAAAGTCTAAAAGTAAAAGACAAAGACATGAAATATAACAAAATATTAAACATAAGTGTATTAACAAAAAAAAAAAAAAAAAAAAAAAAAAAAAAAAATCACCAGTACTAGGTCGAGACAATGCAAGATGGTAAACCTGACTATACAGTAAAAATGTGTTAATTATTGCACAAGCAAGTTCAATGGTTTGAAAATTGTATTGTTCCACTTAATTAGGCTTAAGCAGCGGTTTTTTATATTATAATACTTATAATTAAATACTGAACATAAAAATCTTCATAAAATAATTTGAAAATTGTTTTTACACTGAATAAAAATTCACATGTAGTTTTGGATGTGGGTGTATTAAAAAATACTTCATATAACTTTCAGCCAACACCTTAAATAATTTCCTATTCTAAAAATTTAATTGAAATATTAATAAGTGATTTCTTAACATTAGAAGTGAGTAGGGTCCGTTATGTATTAGGGTGTCACTAATAAAATTACAATGACAGCCTTGAATGAAATACAGCCATAGTACATCTAGTTCCACATATTTATAAACTGACTCCTAGTTTTTAACCAGCAATGAAAACAATATGGTGGAAACAATAGTCATGTGACTTGTGGACCACAGCAGGCTGATGAACAAGCCACAGTTCTCCCAATCTACAAGTTATTTCCCTTGCTGCGGCAGCCACAATTCAATCAATAATTTAAGTTCACACATCTTTCGGCTCACAACAAAATCATGGATGGAATGTGCTAAAAATAAAAACAACTGACAAACATTCCCAGACTCTAGGGTTGTGTGGTTCCAGGAAATAGAAACTTAGCCACTTAAGAAAAGAATATGTAATTTTTATTTTTTTTCTTACCGCTCCCCCCCCCCCCCCCCCCATTTACTGTCACGTGCAAGAAATTTTTAAAAATCTAAAACTAATCCTAACCCTGCAAGTAGAATAAGATGTGTTGCAACTAACACTAACCCTTTAAAAAAAAACAATCATCACACAACCAATTGCCATTCACCTGATAAAACAGCAGTTTAAATAGATGGGACATTGTAACAACATGGCTGATTACAACTTTGTCAGGTCATAAGCCACAGGAAGATCAGGAATCTGGATCTTGTTTACAAACTTGGTAGACACTGTTATTTTTTTTTGGTTGACTTGATTCATTTGAAATATTAAAAAAATGTTCACAAAAAGCAACAATTAAAATCTGGTAACCATAAGACAACGTTTTAAAAACAACAACCTAACATTATATACTTAATTAGCAAAATTAAAACAACAAGCATAGGAACAAGCCGTTCCCTAAAACAACAACAGGAACGACATGCTCAAGAATTAGAACAGATTCAAATTTGTTTTGAAAAAAAGTAAAAAACACTAAAATAATCATCAATGAGATGAAATCCAAAACTAAAACACACAGAAGTTAACATTTTTCAAACAAAGATAGGAGATAATATTTTTCAAATAAAGTTAGAAGATAATATTTTTCAAAGTAAGAAGACTTTTTTTTTTCAAATAAAAAAAATCTGGTAAATACAGGGTTAAAACAATGAGAACTTGACACAAGTTGTTGCTGGACCCTGTAAGTTTAATCCAGGGGGGTAGGGGTTAAAGTAAATAAACAGGTACTTGGTAAAAAAAGATAAAAACAAAAACGCAAGAAAAAAATATCAACATAACCACATGAGGTCTGCAGGTTTTTCAGATCACAAATCGTTAGGTCAAGCTTATTAATTAGTAAATATGTTAAGCAGATGGGCATACCACATTTACTGACATTCAGCATATCCAGATCTTTGACTTTACCCCGCACTCGCCTACATGATCAGCATTTTTTAAATTTAAAAATCTGGCAAAAATGACTAATGTAAAACAATGAGTGAATGAACAGTCCTCTAGTTCAGAGTATAATACATAGCACTTTGATGACCAATTAAATATCGTAAAATAACATTTCAGAGCAAGCAACTATAAATTTAAGACTTTTGAACAAACATAACATCTCGCTTGCGAGGCCTCTCCCCATCTCCAATGCCATCTTCAGCTTCTTTAGATGGCTCCTGAGGAGACTTCTCTTTAGATGGCTCCTGTGCAAGCTTCTCTTTAGATGGCTCCTGTGGAAGCTTCTCATGATTGTTGTCGACAGTTGAGGTGGCCGGCTCTGGTCGGGAACTTTTCCGAGACGGCAGTGTAATTAACACCAGCCCCACCATGACATGATAGAACCAGTAGAAGGAACTGAAGATAAAACATTGTCAAAATACTGAAATAATTCTACCAGACCTGTGGATATTTGGTTTTAAACAGGAGGGATAAAAGACCAGGAATGCTAAACATAACATTAAAATAGTTTTTAATGGCTGTTACACACATACTTGTTCGAAGTTCTATCTATATATAATTCTCTTCTGGGAGACGCTAGAAAACAAGCTGTAAACACGCTCCCTACCATCCCCACCCCTACATGGTCTTAGTGAGCTGTGGTTCACGCTATGTTTACCTTCGTGGAGTCGGGTTTAGTGACGGCTATTAGGGGCAGATAATTTAGTTTGAAACGTTTTTAAACATTGGGGGGGGGGGGGGGGGGGGGAAAGGAAGGGGGGGGGGGGGATTATGGTCCTTAACAAGCTACTTATAGTGTTTTAAAGAAATATTTTCAGTGTCAGCGTTGGTACTGTCGAATTCACAAATTATGAATTACTGAAAAGTAGGAAAAAACAACTAAATAGCGGCGTATGTTATGCCGCGGCCGGCTCGTTAACAATAAAAAGATAAAATGGCTAATCTAGTACTAAAAAACAAATACTTTATGGATTATTGCAAATGGGTGTTTGAAATGTTTGAAAAAAAATGAGACAAAATACTTGAAGAGTAAACCAACCTGTGAAACCTAATGGACGGCTCCCAGTGCAGTATAACAAAGGACAAGACCAGGAAGCTCAGGCCAAACTGGGTACCCAGGAAGGTCAGCACCTCGTAGACAAACCTGGAGGCTTTGGAAGTCTGGAACAATGGACGGATGTTTTGGCGGATCTGAAAACATGCAGTGAAAGTTATAAATGTCAGTGGCCGCTCTAGTGCAACGTATTTTGGTTTCAATACCAGAGGAATTAAAGGAATTAAAACATAGGAAAATTAATTTTTCTCTCTTGTCTAGCTAAGAAGTGGGGTGTTTGAGTTGGGGAATTTTCTAGAAAGAATAAATGTATTCTATTAGAATGCCAAGACAAAGTGTGAAATAGGATTTTTTTTTCTGTCTGCCCAATGCCTAAAAAAATGCCACATCTCTCACTTTGCTGATAACATGTTTTCAAAAAGGGGGGGTGGGGGGTGTCTTAATATTTATATCTACTTATCAGAACTAAGACAGGGCCCCATCTGCCCATCAGAACTAAGACAGGGCACCATCTGCCCCTCACCAGCAGCCTGTACTCACCTTTCTACCAGCCTCCACAAAGAAGGCAGCGGATACAAAAGTGATGTAGTAGCCTATAAATAGACCATGCCACAGCGCACTCAAGACAAAGGTCAGCAGTGTGTTGAGGAAGGGAGCACGCATGTAACACACATGCCTCAACCAGTGTGTTGTCAGGATGTTCCAGTTGTCCAAATACACCTTTAAACTTGTAGCAGTCTGTGCAGATACATCAAGCCAAGTGTCACAAACTCAACTCTAATTCATTCAATTCATTGTATTACATTACTAAATCATTCATTCCAGTTCAAGTAAAATAAGTTGCCCTCTCAAAAATTATGGAATGCCACCAACTTGAAGCTAACCTACCTCAATTTTCCATACAAAAACATTAGACATAGCAGTCCACCTTGGTTTCCCCTTCTCATCCTTGCCTGCATACCCGAGACCAGAGGAATTGTAAACTGCATCAGCTGGAGTGATACAAATAAATTTACACATCAACTCTGTAGCTAGTCTTATCATTATATAACAGACACAATACCCTCTAAACCAGAGAAAATTTTAAACTGCTAGAGCTGAAGTAATACATAGCTAGTTTTATCATTATACAGGGGTGCCACTCATTTTCTAAGTGAATCCTGAAAATGAATCCCAAAATTTTACCAATCCTGAAACTAAAATTTGAAATTTTTGAAACCCTGAAACTTAATTTCGTGCGGAATTTCAAAATAAAATGGACTATTATTTCATTATTTTTTGAGACATTTGATTCATATTATGTTCAATTTACATTCCTTTAAAATGGATTTATTTTCTTTGTAACAAGCTTGAAATAAAAATTAATCTTTAAAGGATTGTGCTTACAACAAAATTAGTTTACAATGTTAGTCCCACCCATCTCTAGGCCTACCCCATAATGTGCTATTGTAGAACTCCCCCCCCCCCTCCCAGCCAGCTTTTATGACATTACTGTATTTAATTTTTTAGAACTTCCTAGCTTGATTTAAAGTGTGTAGTCAGCCAATTGCTAACCTCTATGTCTTGTTATTGAATAATAAGCGCACTATATGCAGACCCCTAATAAGATTGTCACTGTATTAAAATACAGGGTTGACTTACTGTAGCTATTCAAGGCTTTAATTATTAACAGCCACAACAAAAACCTAAAACCCTGTTTTCCCAATCAACCACCAATGGGGTCATCCATAAATGATGTCACGCTTTTTTGACGATTTTTACCTCCCACCTCCCCTCGGTCACATATCTGTCACAAAAAGCCAGATCCCTCCCTCTAAAATGACGTCACACCTCAGCCTACACCCCCCCCCCCCCCACCCCTAAAAATTGCAGTCGAATTTTTCTTAAAATACGATATTTTCCAAAAATCTTGTCTGACCTCTGTCAACATAGAGTATTTTAATCAATTCCTATTACACTTTATTGAAACAATATTCTAAAACGCGAAATAACGGCTAAAATTCGTTTTCTAACATAGCTTTTGGATAATGCAAAAGTGTGATGTCACACCATCTGAACCCCTCCCCCTCATGACAAAATTACGAACCCCCCTCCCCTTACGAGTGTGACGTCATTTATGAACGACCCCAACGCCCCCACCATTGATATACATGATGACGTGAAGAAATATCGTGGAAGTTTTAAAAATTTTATTCTGTTTTAAATCTAGTCCTATCTATCTTTGACTAACAATTTTATTCTGTTTTAAAATTTAAGGTTAGGTTTTTTAAACATTTCAATGACGTTTTACCAAAGTAAAAAAAAACAATTAGATGTAGACCCTGCTAGATTGCAGTAGCGTAGCGAGGGGGGGCGGGGGGGGGGGACATATGTCCCCGGGCGCCGACCTTAGGGGGGCGCCAAATTGAAAGTTTGAGGGGGGGGGGGGGGGTGCAAATGAAAAGTTCGAGGGGGGGGGTGCAAATCGAAAATTTGCTCCCAAGGGGGCGCCAAATTGAAAGTATGTCCCCGGGCGCCGGGAAGGGTCGCTACGCCTCTGCTAGATTGTGTAACTAAATTATAGCAGGCCTACATATTTTGTTTAATGATATAAAACGATGCAGTTCTAGTTTTTTTTTTCTTGAATCTAGAAGTAGGCCCTTATTTAAAATAACCACGTTAAAATTAAACAGCGCTTGTACTTGTAGAACTGCCTTGACCGAGTGACACGACTCAGACTGTGTTTGCGTGGTCTCGTGACGTAGGTCTTACGGTCAGCGCGACCTTGAAGAAGCGGGTAAGAGGTGGTAAAAATACATAAAATAGTCCTTCAAATAGTTTTTTTCTTTTCTTTTGGTAATACCAAATACAAAAAAAAATATTTTTTTTTTTGATCGGAGCAAAATCTTTCGGTTTCTTTTTTTTTTAAAGACCATCGGCGATGCTAGTGAGCTTGATCTAGTACTTGTAGGATTTAGTTGTTTTTATTACACAGCCTAGCGGTATCCCATTGCTGACATCACGTAAATAATGCGAGTTTTACCCCCAACCCATATCGTCATAAATAGCCAGACAACCACACCACGAATGACATCAAAAAGTTTCGTCTACAGCCTCACCCATCTGATACAGCTGATTTTTATTTGGTCCTTGGCGCACGCGTGAGATTGTTGCTGACGTCATTTACTATTCATTTTTTTTTCGGAAAAGGCTATTAGCGGGAGTGTTGACGATAAAAACGATTTTTACAATGCTAAAATTTTCAAGCTTAAAACGATCTAAATTTTTTTTAAAAATGCAAACCCGGAAATTTTCAAACTCAAATCTTGCGAATCCGGAAAGGGAAAAAAATATGATTCTCGAATCCGGAAATCCGGGATATCCCGGAAAAGTGGCACCCCTGCATTATATAACAGACACAATACCCTCTAAACCAAAGAAATTTTAAACTGCTAGAGCTGAAATAATACATATACACATCAACTTAGTTGTTAGTTGTATCATTATATAACAGACACAACAACCACCACACACATGTGACCCACTACATGACATAATCACAGATAACTATACCAAAACACAAGTATTCTGACTGAACGTACCTAATATCCAGGACACATAGTATTTGGATCTGTGCAAGAACAAAGATATGTACAGGTAACCTAAGCGCACAACAAAGTTATTGTTGGCTATAAACTCTGGATCTGGAAATAAAAAACAAATTTGGTTACGTCAATTTTGACAGAAAGTTTTTTTCTTTTAATGACCGTTTCAGAAAACTAAGATATGAGTTGTTATTTAAAGTAAATGAGACCCACCAACATTAGTGTAATCAGGGAAATGTGGCTTGACACATGCTGTCACAAAAATCCACAGAAACACAGCTAGGATCTTGGTCACCACTGCTTGCTGTCAGGTGAGGAAAAAAAAAAGTTCACAAAGTTTTAAAAGACATTCACATAAAACACAAGCAAACATCAGCCTGACACACTTAAATTAGTTAAATTCTTAACACACCTAAAACCTTATATAAAATCCTGAGATATAATATCTAAAAAATATAACATCTAAAATCTGACACCCACGTAACACATTGCACTAAAAAAACTACTGTATCGTGGACTAAGGCATAACAAGCCATAATATGCAACAAACCCTACCATTACTGACGAAGGATCATCCAAGTACTCAACAGCATTTTTGCTTTTCTGTAAAGTATTTGTGCAATTCAGTTAGAGAAACATTTCAATAATTAATGACATGAGGTAAAAGCATAAACTAATTAAGTGAAATGTAATTGTAATACATAGTAAAAAAAAGTACAATAAAAAATTTTCTCATCCCAAAGAGATATTTTGTAAATGAACATGTCTGAACAAATGAGTCACCCCATCAGACTTATACATGAACATGTCTGAACAAATGAGTCACCTCACCTCTAGTCTTTCCTTTGTATTTCCTTCTATAAAAGCTCTGAACATACTGTAATGGCAGAATGGGCCGGCTAAAATACCCTGGAAGCTCAGCATAAAGGCAAGAAACTCTAGGACTGAAGGGACTTCACTAAAAAAATTGGAAAGAAAAAATGTTTCTTAAGCTGATAAACAGACCGGATTTTTTTTCTAACCAAAAAATGTGTTTGTGCTTTTTAGCCCCAAACAATTATAAATTAAAATCTATGTAGGAGCACAATTTTATTTTTTTAGTTAAAAGATAGATAGGACTAGATTTAAAACAGAATAAAATTGTTAGTCAAAGATAGATAGGACACATTCACTAATGACAAGGACTTGACTGACCACACATTGACTACTAACAAGGATTTGACTGACCACACATTGACTACTGACAAGGATTTGATTGACCACACATTGACTACTGACAAGGATTTGATTGACCACACATTGACTACTGACAAGGACTTAACTGACCACACATTGACTACTGACAAGGACTTGACTGACCACACATTGACTACTGACAAGGACTTGACTGACCACACATTGACTACTGACAAGGACTTGACTGACCACACATTGACTACTGACAAGGACTTGACTGACCACACATTGACTACTGACAAGGATTTGACTGACCACACATTGACTACTGACAAGGACTTGACTGACCACACATTGACTACTGACAAGGATTTGACTGACCACACATTGACTACTGACAAGGACTTGACTGACCACACATTGACTACTGACAAGGACTTGACTGACCACACATTGACTACTGACAAGGACTTGACTGACCACACATTGACTACTGACAAGGACTTGACTGACCACACATTGACTACTGACAAGGACTTGACTGACCACACATTGACTACTGACAAGGACTTGACTGACCACACATTGGCTACTGACAAGGACTCAACTGACCACATACTGACTACTGACAAACACTTTTACCTGACAGCCCACTTCACTCTCTCTTCCTGCATCTTCTTCCCTTTCTGTAGAGCTTTCCAGTCCCCGATGCTAAACGCCAGAGTAGTAACCTTTTGTGTGGTAATCATTAGCGGGCTGCGAGAAGGGTAATGGTTGAACTTGAGGTGTTGAGTTAAACTAATGGTTGAACTGGATATGTTCAGTTAAACTTTTCTGACTGAATTACTGATTCTTATTTGTGTAAATGGTTTGTGAAACAGGTAGGGGGGGGGGGGGGGGGGGGGAAATCCATGCCAAAGCCATTGATGCTCAGCACAACAAAATATCCTTTAAATACACAAAATTGTAAAAACTCCTTTTAAAGGGAAGGTTATATTTTTGTGTACATGTATTAAATTAGTGAACCTCAGATTTTGATACAAAAACTCACTATGTAGCATCGTAACAGAGGTCGTCAAAGTTCTGTTGGTTTCTTAGCACATACATCACCAGCATATAGCCCAGCGCAAAGAAAAATACAACTCTGAAACAAGGTGAAACAAAATACTAAATTACCACCCGTTTTCATACATTTACAGTAGAAAGTTAGAACTTAGGTGTTATTAATGTACTTCACATTTCATAAGCTGTAGGGTGTAACTTTATGTGAAGTAATCTACAACAATGTAGGCCATTCCATGTAATCAGCATCACATGAACTAGGTTGACCTTTGAACCAGTAAGGTCATGATGACCTGAATAACCCAACACAGAGGGCACCAGGATCTTTACCATTCTATGAAATCTAAATTAGTTATCAGGATGTCGAGCTGACAGCTGATTAGGATCTTAAGAGTTTCATGTTAACCAAATAACATCAAGTTTACAGTTTAAAATAGCTCAACAAAAGTAATATTACACTGCACTACCATTTGATTTGCTTTACAATTTAACTGCTACATTAAAGATTACAACCAGTTGAAAAACTGAAATGAATTGAAACACTCTGTAGTCCTCTCCCCCCACCAACTTTAATGGACCAGGAAGCACAGCAACGTAACTATAAAACAAATAAATACTTACAGTGGCATGAATTTATGGTGGAAGAATTTCATCATGGTGTAGCAGACAGTGACTTGGACCAAAACAACCCAGAGTGACCTGGCACCAGACACACAAAGAATACTTAAAGAACATGGCCACAACATGGGGTAGTGGCTAAACTAAACAGCACAGAGAATACTTAAAGAACATGGCCACAACATGGTGTAGTGGCTAAACTAAACAGCACAAAGAATGATTAAAGAACATGGCCACAACATGGGGAAGTGGCTAAACTAAACAGCACAAAGAATAATTAAAGAACATGGCCACAACATGTAGGTGACTCAACTAAACAGCACAAAGAATACTTAAAGAACATGGCCACAACATGGTGTAGTGGCTAAACTAAACAGCACAAAGAATAATTAAAGAACATGGCCACAACATGGGGAAGTGGCTAAACTAAACAGCACAAAGAATAATTAAAGAACATGGCCACAACATGGGGAAGTGGCTAAACTAAACAGCACAAAGAATAATTAAAGAACATGGCCACAACATGGGGAAGTGGCTAAACTAAACAGCACAAAGAATAATTAAAGAACATGGCCACAACATGGGGAAGTGGCTAAACTAAACAGCACAGAGAATACTTAAAGAACATGGCCACAACATGGGGAAGTGGCTAAACTAAACAGCACAAAGAATAATTAAAGAACATGGACACAACATGGGGTAGTGGCTAAACTAAACAGCACAAAGAATACTTAAAAAACATGGCCACAACATGGGGTAGTGGCTAAACAAAACAGCACAAAGAATAATTAAAGAACATGGCCACAACATGGGGAAGTGGCTAAACTAAACAGCACAAAGAATAATTAAAGAACATGGCCACAACATGTAGGTGACTCAACTAAACAGCACAAAGAATACTTAAAGAACATGGCCACAACATGGTGTAGTGGCTAAACTAAACAGCACAAAGAATAATTAAAGAACATGGCCACAACATGGGGAAGTGGCTAAACTAAACAGCACAAAGAATAATTAAAGAACATGGCCACAACATGGGGAAGTGGCTAAACTAAACAGCACAAAGAATAATTAAAGAACATGGCCACAACATGGGGAAGTGGCTAAACTAAACAGCACAAAGAATAATTAAAGAACATGGCCACAACATGGGGAAGTGGCTAAACTAAACAGCACAGAGAATACTTAAAGAACATGGCCACAACATGGGGAAGTGGCTAAACTAAACAGCACAAAGAATAATTAAAGAACATGGACACAACATGGGGTAGTGGCTAAACTAAACAGCACAAAGAATACTTAAAAAACATGGCCACAACATGGGGTAGTGGCTAAACAAAACAGCACAGAGAATACTTAAAGAACATGGCCACAACATGTAGGTGACTCAACTAAACAGCACAGAGAATAGTTAAAAAAACATGGCCACAACATGTAAAGGGCTAAACTAAACAGCACAGAGAATACTTAAAGAACATGGCCACAACATGTAAAGGGCTAAACTAAACAGCACAGAGAATAGTTAAAAAACATGGCCACAACATGTAAAGGGCTAAACTAAACAGCACAGAGAATACTTAAAGAACATGGCCACAACATGTAAAGGGCTAAACTAAACAGCACAGAGAATACTTAAAGAACATGGCCACAACATGTAGGTGACTCAACTAAACAGCACAAAGAATACTTTAAAAACATGGCCACAATGTATAAAGGGCTAAACTAAACAGCACAGAGAATACTTAAAGAACATGGCCACAATGTATAAAGGGCTAAACTAAACAGCACAGAGAATACTTAAAAAACATGGCCACAACATGTAAAGGGCTAAACTAAACAGCACAGAGAATACTTAAAAAACATGGCCACAACATGTAAAGGGCTAAACTAAACAGCACAAAGAATACTTAAAGAACATGGCCACAACATGGGGTAGTGGCTAAACTAAACAGCACAAAGAATACTTAAAGAACGTGGCCACAACATGTAGGTGACTCAACTAAACAGCACAAAGAATACTTAAAGAACGTGGCCACAACATGTGAAGGGCTAAACTAAACAGCACAAAGAATACTTAAAGAACATGGCCACAACATGTGAAGGGCTAAACTAAACAGCACAGAACATGGCCACAACGTGCAAAGGGATAAACTAAACAGCACAGAGAATACTTAAAGAACATGGCCACAACATGGGGTAGTGGCTAAACTAAACAGCACAAAGAATACTTAAAGAACGTGGCCACAACATGTAGGTGACTCAACTAAACAGCACAAAGAATACTTAAAGAACGTGGCCACAACATGTGAAGGGCTAAACTAAACAGCACAAAGAATACTTAAAGAACATGGCCACAACATGTGAAGGGCTAAACTAAACAGCACAGAACATGGCCACAACGTGCAAAGGGATAAACTAAACAGCACAGAGAATACTTAAAGAACATGGCCACAACATGGGGAAGTGGCTAAACTAAACAGCACAGAGAATACTTAAAGAACATGGCCACAACATGTGAAGGGCTAAACTAAACAGCACAGAACATGGCCACAACGTGCAAAGGGATAAACTAAACAGCACAAAGAATACTTAAAGAACATGGCCACAACATGTAGGTGACTCAACTAAACAGCACAGAGAATAGTTAAAAAACATGGCCACAACATGTAAAGGGCTAAACTAAACAGCACAGAGAATACTTAAAAAACATGGCCACAACATGGTGTAGTGGCTAAACTAAACAGCACAGAGAATACTTAAAAAACATGGCCACAACATGTAAAGGGCTAAACTAAACAGCACAAAGAATACTTAAAGAACATGGCCACAATGTGTAAAGGGCTAAACTAAACAGCACAAAGAATACTTAAAGAACATGGCCACAACATGTAAAGGGCTAAACTAAACAGCACAAAGAATACTTAAAGAACATGGCCACAACATGTGAAGGGCTAAACTAAACAGCACAGAGAATACTTAAAGAACATGGCCACAACATGGGGTAGTGGCTAAACTAAACAGCGCTTCTATTTTTCACTGGCTCTATTGTAGGAGAGATATAATGCTTGGTACTCCTTTGGACAAAGGTCAAGGAATGGGTCATGTTGCACTGGGACCAACCCATCATCTCTTTACCCAATGCCCAGTTATGTGCCCTGAGCAAGCATGTTTTGGTGATACTAGCTAAAACAAGATATTTCCTTATAAATCAAATATCTATCATTCAACCCATGAATAGAAAGTAAAAAAGCAAAGTTTCTCCTTTCACATTGAATGATACATCACAGGGCAGATGAAGTAGAGTCCATAAGTCACTTGACCTTGGCATATGAAGGGATGGTGTGGTCCCCACTATGCCCAGTCACTTTTAATTTCCCTAACATGTGTCAGGTACCCATCTGAGCTGGGTGGGCTCAGGGACATCCTGCAGTCTATATTCCAGACCAAGATCTGAACTCAAGACCTTGGGACGAACACTCAAGCGCTCTACCACACCATCCCATTGAAGAATAGAACATTTGTGAATAAATGGAGGACAAATCAACTATAAAACATGGATTAGTAGTAGGATTAGCTTACCATCCAATCACAAACCAGAGAAGTGCTAGCCCAGTCACCAGGCAATACACAGATCTCCATTGTGGTTTGCCTGCACTGTGAGGCAGCCAGTAGCGGAGGAGAAAGCCAAACAGCAGCGCCGTGAACTGGGCTACCACGAAGTTGAACTGTGGATTAAATGGAACAACATTAAGGAAAAGTTTTTATTTATATGGTGTAATAACTTTGGGTGCCGAGTAAATATTGGAGAAGTAACTGGATATCAATATCACATAATTTCTGGTCTACACAAATTTCTGTTCCGCCTAAGACTGGACTAATGTTGACTATATTATCAACATATTGGGACCAAACAGTTTAAAAATATTTCTATAGTGTAGTTGTATTTCTTACAACACATGTCCCACAAGGACACACATGTTTACTGTGGCCTTGACACAGACTAATCATGCATGACACAGCTCTATTCAAATCTAACCTTTATTTAACTATATCAGCCTCAAATTTAGTAGGCCTACAGCTAGGAAGATGATGCAAGTTCAAGATAAATTTTGACTTCACCTTGTCCTAGTCAAAAGATATCAGTGAACTTTATCTATTTTCATGTGAAATCTTTAAATAGCTTGAACTTGCAATAAATAGAAGGTTAGGATTTTTCCTCCAAATAAAATTTCTTATTTACCTCAGTTATTTATAACCAAATAGGAATACATCCAATTGATACAAAGGTGATAGAACTTTGTAAACAGTGTTTCTTCCAGACTTTTTTCTACAGGGGGGCACTTAAAATTTTCGGGGGGGGGGGGGGGGGGGTAGACTTTTTTCGGGGGAGAGGGGAACACTGTTAAAAGTATATATTTTCTATATAAATTATACAAATTTCATTTAGTTCGGGGGGGGTGGTAGAATTTTTTCGGGGAGGGGTGGTGGTTTGCGCCCCCCCCCCCCCCCCCCCTCCCCGAAGAGATGCCTGGAAGAAATACACAATGAAGTTTTTTTTTATAATCTCATCTTTTAATAATTGGCCTACTGTAAAAATTTTAAAATATACTCCCAATATTTTAGGGGCCAAACTTCACCTCCTTGGGTGAGGCCATTCGATTTTTTTTGGATGATGTCATGATGGTGGAGGCGGGGAAGGGGGGGTAAGTAAAATAATAGTATTTATTTTATACTTTTTAAACATACAAAAAACTGTTGATTAACGCTCAAATTATGGTTATTTTATGAATGTGTGTGACTGATTAAATCTAAAATATAAGTGTCTACTAAGTCATTAGAGTGATTAAGAATTTGATTTTAAAAATTTACTAAGTTAAGTTACGACTACTCTTGTTGAAAAAAACTGTATATTTGATCTATGAGTTACTGTTAATAGTAGTTAATACAATGAATTGCCCTGTTGGTTGAGATACTGAGTTGTTAACTTGTTAGAAATGAGCTGTTAGCTTGAGACTTTGAACAACAAAAGTGAAAGAGCGTAGATTGAGTAGTAACTAACTAACCAGACTCTGACTCTAGTGAATAGATCTAGAATCTAGTAGATCTAGAAATCTAGATCTAGTAGTACTGCTAGTCTAGTAGATCTAGTAGATTCTAGCTTAGGGCCTAACCAGGCCCTAGCTAGGGCCTTAACTGAAGTGAAAGTCTAGACTAGATCTAGATACTAGATCTAGATAGAATGATAGATAGTTAGTATAGTGTAGTTAAGTGTAGTAGTGTAGTGTTGATAGATCTAGATCTAGATCTAGATCTAGAATAGTAAGAGACTAAAAAAAAACCTAGATCTAGATTAGATCTAGAAATCTAGATCTAGATCTAGATCTAGATCTAGTCTAGTAGTAGATCTAGTAAGTAGAGAGTTAGAGTCTAGAGATCTAGATCTAGAAATCTAGAATCTATTCTAGAGTCTAGCAGTAGATCTAGATCTAGAGATCTAGATTCTAGATTAGAAGCAGTAGGCACCGCTAACTAAAAAAAAAAATATTTTACACCAGAAGACTGGAAGACGCCGTATAAAGTTTTTCAGAATAAAATGCATCTCGATTTCTAGACCTAGATCTAGATCTATCTAGAAGGAACTTTCAAGACTGAAATGTATAAAATGCGAAAAAAGTGCTTACTTGGTCCAAAGAAATTCCAGTTTTTCCAGAAGCAGAAAGGAATAACCTGGAACCTTGGTAGAGCGGCGATACCGTAGCCATGTTGATTATTGATCGTATGTTGATGACCCGTTAGATGACCTCCGACCTGGTTCAAAAGTCAGAAGGTTATTGTTATATATTCCATTGTCAGCAGACCGAGCATCTTCGCAGGTGAAGGTTACTTTTTTTAAACTTTTTTTTTACGATACAGATATGAGAGGGGGGGGGGGGGAGAGGGAAGGAAGGGGTCGTCCATAATTGACGTCAAACTTGAACGGAGGAAAGGGGGGGGGGGGGGGTTCCGTAATTTTGTGACGGTGTGTCACACACCGTGTGTGATGAGGGGGGGGGGGGGGGGGTGTCCAGATAGTGTGATGTCATACTTTTGCATTATAAAAAAAAAAACAATGCTAGAGAAACGAATTTTAGCCGTTTTAGAAAACTGTTTTTAATAAATTGTAATAGAAATTGATTAAAACACGCAATGTTGACAGAGTTCAGACAAGATTTGGGGAAAATATCGCTGTATTAAGAAAAATTCAACTGCAACTTTGAGGGGGGGGGGGGGGGAGGGGGGTTGTAGGCTGAGGTCTGTTGTCCCTTTTTAGGAAGGGGGGGGAGCAGGGGGCGTAGCGAGGGGGGGGGGGGCGGTGGGGTGCGGACCGCACCGGGTGACACCATTTAGGGGGGTGACACCAAGGCAAAAATAGCAAAATATATAGAAAAAAACTCGAGGGGGAGGGGGTGCAAATCGAAAGTTTGAGGGGGGGGGGATGCAAATCGAAAACTCGAGGGGGGTGCAAATCGAAAGTTTGAGGGGGGGGGGTGCAAATCGAAAATTTGAAAGTTTGTCCCTGGGAAGGGTCTCTATGCCTCTGGGGGTGGGGGGGGGGGGGTGACAGCATAAAGTGCCGCACCGGGTGACACCCGACCTCGCTACGCCACTGGGGGGGGAGACTGGCTTTTTTGTGACAAAGTGTGACGTAGGGGAGGGGAGGAGGTAAAATTCGTCCAAAAAAGCGTGACGTCATTTATTGATGACCCCCGGTCTTATTCATTGATAATTAGTGTTAAGTCTAAAAAAATAAGATCTAGATCTACTACTTATAACATAGCAAATAAAATGCAATACGTTAATAATAAGATCTTATAATGGTAAACCGTTACAGTGGACAAATACTTTGGGTTCATTCATAACCGACATCAGGGGCAGAGGCGTAGCGAGGGGGGGGGGGGGCGGGGGGACATATGTCCCCGGGCGCCGACCTTAGGGGGGGGGCGCCAAATTGAAAGTTTGAGGGGGGGGGGGTGCAAATGAAAAGTTCGAGGGGGGGGGGGTGGCATCAGGGGTCGCCAGTTAAGTAAGTAGGACGACGTCACATTTCTATGGGGGGGGGGGGGGGGGGCAATTTTTGTGACGAGAAGGAGGGGCGAAGTTCAGAAAGTGTGACGACGAGTGTGAAAATATAAATTTTATCATTAATCTAGGTGAACAAAATTTGGAATAACTTTTAATTTCAAAAGACTATTTTTCCAAGGTTATATGCTATATGATTATGCATTATTTGAATGGTTTAAATTTAAAAT